GGACACACTGATTCTGCTACGAGAAGGGCATCTGCTGGTATCTAAGTACCCCAAGTTTGCATGAATCACTCCTTTCTCCCCACTCCCANGAGTTTGCATGAATGAATCACTCCTTTCTCCCCACTCCCACCTCCAAGGAGCCAGAGAGCTCAGTCCCGGGTGTTGGTGAAATATTCTGGTCCCTACTGGGAGGTTATGCTAGAGATTTTCTTGGGGAAACTTCCTTCCTGCACACAAAGAAAGTCACAGAAGCTTTAGAAAAGCCATTCTGGCCAGAACTCCCTGGGCCTCCAGGCCTGTTGTCCTCGCTCATGTGCCCCTTTGCTCTCCGGGAGCGGGAGTGGCTGTTTATAGCCGGATCTTTCACTTCTGCACAGCAGGTGCAAGCAGGGAGGCGTCTGTAAGTTTAGACCAGACCGCCTGCCTCTGGGCCGTCAGCAGTTCTTTCCTGACCCCTCCAGCTCCTGGTCCCTGCTTCCTCCACACGCTTCCCCTGCTCCCACTGCTGTCCTTCTGCTTCACCTGGAGGAAGAGGGAGGGGCCAGCACGACACGGGTGCCTCCTGTCGCCATGTGCTCGGGCTCGGCCAAAGGAAAACGCACGTGGGAAATGCGTCCCTTGGCTCCCGGGAGCTTTTTCTCTGTTGGGAGGGGGCTCTTGTGGTACTCACCCATCCCGTCTGTCTAACTCATGCAGAGATAAATGTGGTTTACTGATGAGCTGCTACTAATTCCATGGGTCTGATCTTTTAAAAGGAAAACGAGAGTAAATTTGATTTACTTCTAAGTCAGTACTACCTGCTAGACAGGAGAATATTCTGTTCCCTTCAGAGCCACTCACCTTTACGACACTACCTTTTTACGAGGGTTTAGTCTCTATGCTTTTACGAGCACTGTCCTCTGGGCCAGAAGGGGGCAGCAGTGGCCACGGAAGGATGTGTTTCAGGCTGTTTGTCCCAGGGCAGAGGACTTACAGACTTACACAGCTCACACCAACTCACTCACACGTGTCCCTGGTGACCAACAGTAGCTTGGAAAACAGCCATCTGGGCGAGGAGCACACCCTGCAGACCCAGACGGGGCAGCAGTCAAGCCATGACTTTGCCTGCACCACGTTGGAAGGGCTGATCACACCCCAGAGGCCTGTTCCTCCCACTAATGCATCTGGGGCCCAGAACAAGAGCTGCTGCATCCCCTGACTCACAGACGTCTGTGCAGCCTCAGCAGCCTGAAGGCCTAGCAAGGGAGTTAGCTGAGATTCGGGCTCCTCCTTCCAAACGAGATTGTCCAGCTGTGCATTCATCGGAGAAGTCTGACCCCAGTTTGTCATTCAGGGGGAGGTGATTTCAGATGTGGAAGAAAAATCTTTCTACCCCGATAGCTGGTAAATAACGATTTCTAGTGTTCGCACCATATCATCCAATGCCAGTGCTCCAAGGGTCCAGACCATGTCGTTACTGTTTCTTGTAACTTAGAATTCCTACTGCACACTAACTCCTACAGATGGCTCTTTGCATAGACGTTAGAAATATTCAGCTTCATAATGACGTTCTCCATATAACTCTCATGCTCTGTAATGCAATGTCCACATTCTACTCCTCCTGCATCTTTCCAATCGCCTCCAAGATCATAGGGTTAGACGACAAGAGTCACCCCCTCTGTACCTAAGACTTCTCCAGGAGTCCACATTAAAATAAATTTGAGGGTAAAGGGGGGATGAATGGAGATGGAAGGAGACAGCTTGGGTGGTAAACACAATATAATATATATATGATGTATTATGAAATTTTAAAAAATGAAAAATGAAAAAAAAAGTCACTAATTGTTCAGCATTGTGGAGGCGGGTGATGAGACTGACGGGAATGCAGGCTTGGCATCATAGTGCCCTGACAACTCCACACACTCGGTCAGAACTGAACCTCCCCGGGGAGCCGGTGGCCTGGCCTGCCTGAGGAGGCATCGCCCCGTGCAGGGAGTGGCAGCCCACACCCTCCAGAGCCTGCTGTCGGAGCAAGCAGGGTACCATGGCCCCCCCTGCACCACCGCTGGAGCACGGGCGTGTCCCCAACATGCATGGAATGCCCCAACAACCTTCTTGCCGATGCCAAAGAGCCATTCTGTGTGTGCTCGCCCCACGGTGCCATCTGGAATCTAGTTCTGCCCTGTCCTAAGGCCATCTGTCCAAATAAAGAGAGAGTGTCCAATCCTGTTTGTGGCATTGACAAAGCAGCCACAGCAACCACGGCCCAGGCTGCACCTGTTCCTAGCTGCCCGCCAGGGCACAGCGCAGTGACACAGGGCGGCGTGGAGGCTCGGTTAGGCAGGGATGACAAAGCAAGGCCCAACACAAGAGCGATTTACTGGGTGCATGGAATGAAACCTCTTCGCTTTTAAAATATAAAATCTGACCAAGAAAAGTATTATAAGTTCAACTTAACTAGCAGTAAATGACTATATGCATGGTGCCGTATTAAATGTGGTACAGCAGAAATTTGGCAGGGCTTAGTCCTAGTGTTTATTTCACGCTTTCCTCATCTTTGTATAGCACAGCATGTAAGTTCCATTTCCAACTCTGGAAAATGTAAGCTGCCTTTCATCTTATCTGGGCATGTAAATAATAGAGAACCGAAAGATTTTAAAGATTCCTCTGTCAATAATTACTCAAGCTTAAGGCTGAGGTATTGGCCCTAAAACTGCTTTAAAAGTTTGTGTTTTGTGATGAAACTAGACAGTAAACTAGTTACTCCTGAGAACATCATTTTTCCTGTCTGAACTGATAAGATGAACAGTAATATTTTATCTCATCCAGCAGAATACCTCTCTCTGTTCTCGGGAAACAAAGTCCTACATAATCAATAGAGAATTGGGCCATGAAGGAAATAAAGTCAAATTTTAAAGGAACTACTCATAATCATAGTTCGGTGCTTTCAGAATGGGCTCCCAGAACACCCTGAACACCTCTCAGCTCCCAGGGCCTTTTGTATGAAGACCTGAGCAAGGAGGACTTCAGCCCTGTACCCACGTGCAAGAAGATCCACTGAAAATGAAATCCGCTTGTCCCAGGCATATGAGTTCATATCAAATGCTTCTACAAGGTTTCTGGCCAAATGTAATTCTTTTCAAAATTTCTTATTAAAGTATGGTTGGCACATAATATTATATTAGTTTCAGGTGTACAATACAGTGATTTGACATTTATATACCTTATGAAGTAATCACCCAAAAAAGTCTAGTTGGATATACTACTTTCTCACTCAAATATAAAATGACTAAATTTTTTTGAAAGCACTAAACATAAACACACACACACACAATTCCCTAAGACCAAACTCGGGACCAGAATGTTCCTGAGTTTAAATCACTAAACTACTCTATTACACACTACTTTTACTAACAGACTAAAAAAGAAAAATCACAGAATGAGAGCAAATATTTACATATTTTAGCAGGGAGCTGTTATTTCTGCAAAGACCAGGGAAAATGTGCACCTTAACTACAACTTTGAATGAAATGAGGGTAGGTTGTGGTTTGCGGGAGAAAAAATATATAGTAAAAAGATGCTCAGTCTTAAGTCATAAGGAGTTTGGTCTTAAGGGATTGTGAATTAGAGAAATGATGAATTATGAGATCCAAGTGAAAGAAGCCAGACACAAAGGGCCACACATTGTGATTCCATTTACATGAAATATCCAGAAAAGGCAAATCCATAGAGACAGGCAGCAGATTAGTGGTTACTGGGAGTTGCGGGGAGCAGAGGAGAAGATGAAGTTTCTCTGTGGGGTAACAGAAATGTTCTAGAATCAGATTCTGATGATATTTGAATTACCCTGTAAATGTACTAAAACGCACAGCATTATCCTTTTAAATGGTAAATTCTGTAGTATGTGAATTATATCTTAATTTTTTAAAGTTACTTTTAAAATTATGAGCTCAAATGGGTAAATGTGGGCCCCTGATGCGGCCCTTGAAACCCCGTGAAGGAGAGAGTTGAAATGAAACAGGTTGTGCTGGCTCCTGACCTCAGCGCTTGCTTTCAGCTCCTGGAGCAGAGGGTCCTTATCTGACTAACCCTTTGATTCCCTGGGCAGAATTCAGCACAATGTCGTTATGTACAATGTGTGATGACACTATTTCTTACCCGGGCACTGATTAAACATGGCCAAGCTCATGAGCCGCCTGCAATGACGATAAAGACCATCAGGCTCTCCATGACGCTCCCACCCTTCCCTGGCACCACCATCCCCTGTGGAAACCCTGCCCTGATCCGATGGCACAGTTCAGCACAGCCATGGAAGCTCAGCCTGAGTCACACCGAAGTTCCTCTAATTTTCTGGTATCGTCATCTTTACAGATAACCTTGGGCTCATGTTTTCAAGTTCATGTTCTGGCTTTTACTTCCTCATGAAATGAAAAAGGCCTAAAATTCACAAGACTCGCCTATTCGGTTATGTTTTTATGTGTACTATGATCGTTTCAGTAGGAATTAGAAAGACTAGTTGGAAAGCCGGCTAAAATAACTGTAGGTTTTACAATGAGGGGTCTGTGTTCAGACAATGCACACAAACCACAACCAAGAAAAACGGGATGGGCCATTGTAGGAGAAGATGCTCTTCTCCTACGGGTGGCTTAGTCAGGGAGCACCACTGGGGGCTGCCCTCGTCAGAGCACACAGGAAAGCTCACCTGCATTCTGCTCTCACAGGGAGACATGCCATGACCCGTTTACAGACAGGACATTAATAGGGTAAGAGATGCTAAGGGCTCTCCAGCAGATTCCCCCTCTATTGTATGATGCACACGCAATGAGCAAGGACAGCTTGCTGACTGTGGCAAACGCAGTCCCTCGACGCGTGTCTGAGGCATAGTTAGCACTCAGAACGATTATACGTGAATATAATTGCATTCCTGAGGCTGGAAGCCTGAGACCTGACACTCTAAATTGGAAATACAATGAGATGAGAAAATCCACGGCTAGAAAGCACACCCGTAGCTCTGTACGTACCTGCAGCAACGTAGAAGCTTCCCCCGGCCTTATAGAGAAGGTGGCTGGCGAAGGGGGCCGCGCAGATGATCAGGAAGCTCGCGGTCACCACGGTGACCACCCCCAGGAGCATCAGGACGGCCCAGAAACCGCGGTAAACTGGAGACCCCAGGAGAAAGGGAGAAAAGAAAACACACTGAGATGCGAGCACAGCAGACCGTGACACTCATTTGTCGAACTTCAGCCAAGGCGCTGCGAGGTGGGACCTGGCTGTGGGGCCTGACGTCTCTCCAGGTGGAACCTCCCCAGGTGACCCTGGACTCAGTGAAGTCAGCCCTCACCATGCTCGGGATTTGCACCCTCATGGGCTTCATGTACTCTGGGAGCTCAATTTCCTGACCAGCTGGTCCATTTGGCAGTGGGAACACCTACAGTTCTAGGAAGTTCTCTTAAGTAGGTACCCATCGGGTCACACATAGGTGTTACATACCAAATGTACAAAAGACAGGAAAGGGATTCGCAGGTGTAAACTCTGCCAGTTACTTCCTGCTAAGATAATGTTTATAATAAAAATGACAGGCAAAGTCAAAAAGAAACGTTTGTAAACAGACTGAGATTTTAAGTTAGATATATCTAAAGCTTATTACTTTCTATTAATCTTTGTTCTTAAAAAGATTCCAGATGAGAAGTTGTAATGCTCTCTCATTTAAGGACCAGAAAGTTTGAATTAATGGATGCGGCTGGTGACAAATAGATTGTGGGTTTGGTGATGTGTTCACAGTAATCAAATAAACAGGAGTCCTAATGATCAATTTTGAACAGAATAATTACCAATCTATTAAACAAATTTATCACTTCCCAAAGCCTAAGACACTAAAATAAACTCATTTTGGTGTAAACAAAGGAAAGCACAGTGAAACATATTAAAATTTTAATTTTTATGTAAATATAAAAACTTTATAATGAAGCAAAGAATGTTTTTTCTCAACAAGCCCACATGGCAAAGAAATAAACTATGTCTGTCAACTGGAATCTTAGAGAAAAATGGATGGGAAGAGGTGGCTTTGAAGAGTCACTGCAGTGTAATGGGAAAGGAAGCTGGGATCTTCGTGCGAATAATCTTGAAGACAGGAACAAAAGGTCGGCATTTACCTCACGTACCAACACTGTTGCTTTTCATTCACGTTATTTATTTCATCATCTATCACATGGTAGGTTCTGTGGCAAGTGCTGGGGGTAAAAACATTCAGAAGAGACAGCCCAGGGGATAAGGAGCCCATTCTGCTCCTCCCCTGATCACACTCAAACTGGACAGCTATGGAAACCACCAGCAGAGACCCCAGGGAGCAAACGGCAGCCAGCGGAGGAAGGAGGGAGCTCCAATCTGGAGCTGAGATCACTCAGCTGCAAAGTCTCTTCCAAGTTTTTCCTTTCTTTCTCTTCCTGGATTTGGCCTGAAGGCAAGTCAAGTTGGGAACTTTGTAAAGGTGCAAACAAACAAACAAAAATACCCTAGTTATTCATCACTCTGGTTATAGAAGCAGGGTGAAGGGCCCCTTCAAGGAAAGTGTGGGGGAAACCCCCATGTTTGCTTTTCTCCTTGTACTTTCCAGTCCTGCCTCAAGGCCAGCTTCAAAAGTAGGTCTGCACTGCTGCCCCAGGGGAGACTCGGACATTTATGATCCCAAATGATGATTCGATCCCCCAGGCAGAAGAATTTGACACCCATTGTGCAAAGTGGGGGAACAGCTGTTGGGTGTTTTCTCTTTTCCCTGCTGCTTTGCACTGTGGTGAGACTGCATGGAACTGTGCCACAGCAAAGGAGGCCAACTCTGACAGGGCCCACACTTTCTCGCCAGAAACACTGGGTAAAGGGGTCCTAGAAGCCAGAGGATGTGGGGAAAATCCCACAGATAAGAGAGAGCTGGAGACAAGAGTCTGTAATCCTGTGTTTGAACCTACACAAGCTGCTCATTCCTCATGTGTAGAAAATGCCCAGAGAAGTATGACAAAAGCTTTAAGAAAACTGAATTATAGTTCTTGGGTGATAAAATCCTCCAAGTACCAGAGCAAGCCTTGAGTGGTGCATGCCCCCACAGACCCAGAGAGCATAAAAGCAACTGAAAATTGAATTTACATTGAAACTAGTTCCACAGAAGAAAAGAACAGACCATGCAGGTTGATTTCCTCTTCAAACAATAAACCAATATTTGCCAGAGGATTTTAACAGTATGCCTAGTCTGACAATGTAATCTTCAAAATGTCCAGGACACAATCCAAAATCACTCGATATACCAACAACCATGAAAATCTGACCAGTCTTCAAAGGAAGAAGAAATCAGCAGATGCCAACCCAAAGATTCAGATGTGTGAATTAGTAGACTTTAAATTAGCTATTAGAACCACTTTCTATAAACTAAGGTGAACACTGTTGAAATGCGCAAAAAAGAGAAATTCTTAGCAGGTAAACAGAGTTTATAAAAAAGATTTAAATTAGATTTTAGAGTTGAAATATACAATATCTGAAATTAAACATCTATTATACAAGCTCAATGGCTGACTGGAGATGAGAGAGGAAAGAGCAGGTGAACTTCAAGAATGAGCGACAGAATTTATCCAATCTGAACAGAAAGAAAAGAGATTGAAAACAAAAATGACTGGAGTCTCAGAGACTTATGGGACCACATCAAGTGATCTCATGTTTGTGTCACTGGAGTCCCTAAAGCACAGGCAAAAGATGTTGGTGCAGAAAGAGTATTCAAAAATAATTCCTACAACTTCCCAAATTTGGTGAAAGATAAATTCACATATACGAGAAATTCAGCAAACTCCAAAGAGGATAAACTTAAAAAAATCAGCCCAGACACATAATAAAATTACTGAAAATCATGGACAAAGAAAAAGTCCTGAAAGCAGCCAGACTGAGGGTGGGGTGGGGGCAGGGATGCCATATTAAATGTACGGACCAGCAGTGCCAAGGACTGAAAGTGTCTTGTGAGAAATGATGGCAGCTAGAAGGCATCCTTAAGGTGCCAGAAGAAAAGGCCTATCAACCTAAACTTCTGCTTCTAGTAAAAATGCCTTTTTGAGTGGTGAAGGTGAAAGAAAGTCATTTCTTAGGTAGGAAAATAGGGTCTGTCACAGCAGGCCTGCTCTCCAAAGACATGTGAAAGGAACTCTTTTAGGCTGAAGGGAAACAACACCAGAGTTCACTTGAAACTTCAAGAATGAAGTAAGAGATAACAGAAAAGGTGACTATCCGCTAAATATATTAGACTATTTTCCTCATCTTAATTTAAAATATATTTGGCTGTTGAAATATAAAAATGCACTGTTAGCATAATACAGTAAAGAAATATAGGTTTTGGAATCCGAGTACTCCAAGTATTTAACGTTTATTTGTGCATGTAATCTTGAACCAGCTAGGTCCAAAAGAGCCATGGTAAGCCAAGACGCAGGCAAGAGGGCAGGAATTATGAATCAGGCTGTAGAGAAGGCAGAAAAAGCAGGAGGGGCCTCTCCACAGAGAGAAGTAGAGAGACCATAAGGAAGAGAGAAAAGCCCTGGCGAGGGAGAGCAAAAAAGAAAGCCAGACAGAAAGGGGGATACATGTTCCCCGGAGCTGCTGCCACCCCTGCCAGCTGCTAATCCGCCCTTTCATTCGCTCTAACAAAATAGTCGGACTCGATTCTGAGTCCCCTGTAAAACGAAGGAGCAGCAGATTTGTGTTTAAGGGAAAGGGGGATCTGGCTGCCTGGAGAGTTGTGACGATACAGAAATAGGTCCCAAGTGAGATTCCTACTGCAGTCACCAAACGTGTGCTTTATTTTCCTGCCTGTGCTTCCGCATTCAAAATTGTATAACTTCAAGGCTATTGAAAAATTTCTTGGAACTTCCTGTTCCTAAGCCAATGATATCTGGTTTGCACATGGGCACGCTTTGATTCGAGAATAAAATGTTCAGTCGTAATGAAAAATCACTGTGGAATTGGGTAGAGTTATTTCACTGTGTGAAGTGAGACTGGGGCCATCAGAGAGTCTTAAGCATGAAGTGAATTATATGATACTGGAGCCCCTCCACTGACTAATTTGTGACTCAGATGCACATCAGTTTTCTAATATGGGAGACAATATTCTTCATCTAAGTTTATAGTAAGGATTGAGAAAATATATGAAAAGTAGCATGCGGTAAGCACTCAAGTATATTTGCTGTTATTATTACATATCTGCTAATAACATTTTTTTGTTAACAATGCAGTTGACACTTAAAAGATATCTATTGACCAATCTCATGGATCTAGAATGGGAACAAGGGTTCAGTTCTAACTTATAGAACTGTAAAATCTTGGTGGGAAGAATGTTTTTGTGGTTTATATTTTTTAAGACTCTTAGGTATTAAATGTGTCTCAGAAAACAGTTTCCTTGTTCCTTATGTGAGCCCACTAAAACGGAAAGGCTTTCCCTTTGAAAGCTTAGGACTGTGCCAAGTGAAACCATCTCTAAAAATCCATTTGTACTATTAAATACAAGTCGATGCTTGACTTATACGATATTGAATATCTATAGTTCCTATTAGAACATGGAGGAAGATTTACAATGGAAGTGGATTTACATGTACTCTGTATCATCGCAATTTGTATTAATAAAAAGAAAGCATCATCTGAATCCGTGAAAGGCCAGAACTGATGGCTGTTTTCAAAGAAATGAAGTTCTGTTGATTATCGATAAATTGGTGACTTGACTTAACAAAGTGTTCCTGGGTCAAGTGTGTAAACCTTGAGAAAAAGACATCTACTAAGAAGGGCTCCTGGTTGCTAACCGGGCTCAAACTTGAAACAAGGTTAGCAGCCATTTCTGCACAGAGGCCTCTCCGCCACACTGCACCTCACAGAGAAGCTTGCGCTCACCTGCTGGCCTGCAGCCTTGCTGCCGGCTGAGCCAGCTTACAGCTCCCGCCAATCAGAGCGGCTCTATTCTGACCAATCAGGACAGTGCCTTTTGGACCAATCAAACTTCAAGGATTTGCAGTCCTCATTTGCATGAGGACAGATGAGTCAAGGACCAAGGACAGGAGCTTCTGTCCATATAAACCACCTCCCCTCTGGCCCTGGGAGCACAGATTCCCTTTCCACTTAGGACTAAGGACTGCCTTTCCCTGGC